TCACTCCTAAAGGGTTACCGGTTCAAGCATCTAACGTTTCCGCTTCTGGAAGACGATTGGTTTTCGATCTACTCCGGAGCCGTAAGCATAGCAACCCCATCTCGATTCTATTTGTCCGATCTACAACCTGGCCAGTCAGAGGATGACTACTACATCTCTACCGGCGTGTATCTATTCATATCGTCACGTACGGGCAGATGTACGGGTTCTACAGTTATCCGTTGCCCTACCGTAACTGAGAAGTCCCTAGCTGCAAGACCACTGGCACCTATTCCCAGTGGCCAGAGGCATCGTACAAGATCCCTGACTAACAGGAATGTATAGCTTCCCGTCCTAGGACAAATCCACCCAACCGTATAGCTGGGCTATCTCTCATTGCTCCAAGATGCAAATCTGCTGTTTCACAGACTTTTGGAGTCAAAAACGGCCGCCTCTCTCTCCAGTGAGAAAAAAGACGGTGGAGAGATGTTTCCCTTGGCTGAGGATCAACCAGTGGCCCGGAACAGCATCCATCTCGCTACCACACCCCCGTACCGTTACCTACAAGGGACCATACCCACGTCCTCCCACACACCCTCACCTCACTGCACCGCGAACCCAAGCAAAAGAGATGCCGTTCGTCAGTTGGTAAGTCTCATGGGCTTTCATCTTCCCCACTACAATGCTTAAGTGACTGACCCCCGTCCTCTTAGCACAAGCAAATCCTGGCAGTCAAAGAAGGACCTGACCATTTCTTGTTTAAGTACCCAGGCCCTTCCTCCACCCCCCATCAATATCGCCCCCCCGATCATAAGGAAATATCTTATAAGAAAACATATTGATTGTTGCTGAGGTTGTGAATCAGGCGATTCCTAACAGCATCTATTACAACCACTCTATCCCCCTCATCTTTATATTCGTTCTGTTTTACATTGTTTTTGTAAGACAGATTTCAGGCCGACAATACCTGTACGACACACGAAGATTCATAAGAATATTTCCCAAGCCGAAGAAGTTGTAAGTTGTGTAGTAACACACACTCCCACTCCCTTATTTTTCCCTTCAATTTTTTATTTTTTTATTTTTTTATTCTTTTTTAAAGCTGCCGGGCATCTCTGCTCTCCTACCCTGCAAGTCTCTCCCCCCCCGCCGCCACCGTTGCAACCAAATACTACCACCATCTTACTACCACTTACACCTCCAAACCCGACCAACCTCTTATCGCTCCCATTAATCATTGCAACATCCCCCTCCCCCTCTCCATTGTCTCTCTCGCACATACTCCCGCATACATGCACACATATACGGACACCTACACACACACACATATACTCTTAATCATCGTCTCGAAGCAGCTTGTTGTTCCAACTTGAGACTCGATTTTAAAGAAAGAGGAGACAGAGAATAATAGTCTATCAACGGCCCACCGCTACTAGTTCTAATCATTCACCGCTCGACGCACTAACCATACATCCCTGCAGAGCAGATCCAACCTCTTCGACTATTCTATACAACAACCTGCAGAGTTCCTAACTCTCGCTTCTCTTCCAAGACACACACCACATTCACACACACACACAGACCAGCAATGGTCTCAACATTTCAGATGCCGGCCTTCTACCGGTCGAATCACTTACCCGTCGATGCCAGCCATGCGCAAAAGTACTTTGATGAAGAGGACAGCAACATCCTCGACGAGAACATCCTAGACAGCAACGCAATGGACTCGGGTCTGGATATGTCGCCGCCCATGGCTGGCAGCAGGAGGGATTCGTTCGCTGTACCCGGCTCGATATTCTCCCCGAAGACGGAAGTAGGAGATTGGCAATCCGTCGACATGCAGTCGGTCCCGTCAAACAACCCCTTCCTAGAGCCCCAGAACAACAACAACCCGTTTACGAGGGCTGACCCGCAAGCCGTATACGGCTCGCAAAATCAGCAATGGCAAATGGGTCAAGGTTCCGGCACATGCACACCCTTACATTATGACAGCCTTGACAATGCATTCGACAACAACCAGTCTATCTTCCAGCAACGACCTCTTCAGATGCAAACGCCCTTCAGCAATCCCGCCCACCAGGTCCCGCTCTTCGCTACAGTCGGTCCTAACAACCCTCCTATGCCTAACTCGCCGCAGAAGGATTGGATGGGTCAGGACTTGAAGAACCCCTCGTTAGTCAAGCGCATGCGACCGGATACCCCAACCATCCGATCGCACAACGAGCTGCGTCGCGGTGATGGCATCCGCAAGAAGAATGCCAGATTTGACATTCCCGCGGAGCGCAATCTCGGCAACATCGACCAGCTTATTGCATCGACTACTGACGAGCAGGAAATCAAGGAGCTGAAGCAGCAAAAGCGACTACTTCGCAACCGGCAAGCTGCACTGGACTCTAGGCAAAGGAAAAAGATGCACACGGAGAGGTTAGAGGATGAAAAGAAGCACTTCACTAGTCTCATCAGCTCGATGGAAGAGGAGATGAGCGAGCTTCACATAAAGCTAGACCAGGAGAGGCGCGAGAGGGAGTACTTGGTGGCCCACGTCGAGAACTTGACCTTGGAAAAGGAAGAGTTGATTCGAAACCACACCATCGAGTCCGGCGACTTGCGCAAGAAGATTAGCGTCCTGACCGACCATGTCCAAAGGCTCGAGCACGCCGCCATCCCCAGCAATACGGGCTACTCCAACGGATATTCCGATATGGAAAGCCTTACCATGGATACGTCTTGGGACAACATGGGCTTCATGAACGAGTTCCAGATGGAACCCGAAGTGAAGCAAGAGCTCCAGATCGTTCCCCAGAAGAAGGCCGAAGTCCAGCTCTCATCCGACGGAGAGAAGTCCACGACGCAAGGAGGTCTCTTGTTCATGCTCTTCCTCATCGGCGCTTTTGTCATCTCCAACAGGTCGGCCCCAACGATCCCCCGCGTCTCGGAGGATGTTCGCGAAGCCTCGACAACGCTTCTCAACAACATCTTCAAGGACGCAGGCGTCGCCAACGCCGAGAGCGCCATCGTACCTTCGGCTCCCCAGCCTTCCGGTGCGGACTGGACCTCGAGCGCTTCGGTCCCGATGGCCAGCGGCGCTATGGAGGGCGTAGCGCCGTCTATGCTTGGTGATCTAGCGGATTCCCTTACCCGACCGACGCAGGAGCAGACGAACGAGCAAATCTTCTCGCTCACACCGGCACAATATAACAGTGTGACGTCGCAAGATTTCCTTCGAACAGCACCGACGCGATCGACGGGTCAGAACCGCCGGAACCTCGCCGACGCGCTAAGCAATATGCGCCACGCCGAGAAGCACTCAGCGGCCGAGGTATACACGCGATCACTGCTGTGGGATCAGATCCCGGGCGACGTTGTCAGGAACTTTGCCAAGATGGTGGCCGAGTGCAACAACGCGAACGGTGGTCAGAACGGCAACGACGCAAACTCATGACGATTTCACGACATAACGACACATTAACGAAAAGAACGAATTTACTACTACTACGACTACTACTACTACTACTATACGGCTTCGAGTCAACAGCCGATTTTATTGTTTTCTATTCTATTTACAATTTGGATATTTTCGCTTGTTGGTAACTTAAATATCATTTTTTTCTTCCAATTGCCATTGTTCATACAGTTTTTACACGGCGCTCCCGCGCATCAAAATCCAGATTCGACGGTGCTCACGCACACCGAAACGACCTACGACGACGACGTATCATTATCATCATCTACATTATCTACATCATATCATCATCTATCTATTTTGTCAATCTCGAATCGAACTCATCATCATCAAAGTCATCTTATTGTTTATTTTGTGTCGAAACTTAGCAAGCGAGCCAGCATTCTGATTTAATTTAACCTTCATCTGTCCCATTATTGAAATAACATGGTTATTGTTTATTTTTATTTGCACGCCAAATCTTCTCTCTCCGTCTCTCTCTTTTTCACCGATGTAATCATCATCGGTTAAAGAAACCAGACAAACAACGTGCTGCATGGCGAAAATGGGTCGGTCATTGGGGAGCGGGATTACCTTGGCATGTAAGCCCGGCTGTCGAGGCTACGTATTTTCTTGTACAACGTTCTAAGGGATCATTTGGGAATCGGGGGTAGGGTCAGGGAAACCCGAAACGGCGAGGTTCTTTCTTCACATTCGGGTCGCTGGCTTTTCCCTACACTTTCTCTTCGTGCTACCCTCTGGCGAGCGGGCGTAGTCTCAGACGAGACGGGGACCTTACTGAATAGGTCCGCGCCCAGAGCGGGGTATTTCTTTTCGGGACTTTTTTTTTTTTTTCTTCAGGAGGGGAAATATGGTTGGGTCTCAGTCTCACGACGCGACATAATGGGGGTTGGTCTTAGTTGGGTCACTCAAAGGGGCGGGGCGGTACTGGGGGGGTGAGCTGACGAGAGCAATGGAAACGGAGACATCTATCTTTGGTTTTTTTTCCCTTTCTTTCCTACATTTTTTTTTTCCTAGTATTATTTTTTTTATCTTTCCCCCATGGAAGGGGCGGCAACTCAAGCCAAGGGGCGGTTTATTGGATGTGTGAGACTCATCATACGAGAATGACGAAGATATGTCACGGACAAACAGCACACAGGAGCGGCATGAAGAACAGGCAGCTTACCAGTAGCTGAGAAAGGGACATGTTCTTTTTGGGGGGGGGAAGAAGGGGACAGCATAGCATAGCATAGCAGAGCGATCCATTGGCGGAAGCTCACTTATTTGCGGCTGTTCGTCTTGTAGCTCATCAGTCAGTTTTATTAGCGAAACGTCAAGATGAACATGAAAAACCCCAAGCAACCAAGCAAACCACCAGTTTCCCACCAAGTAGATGAAAAAGAAAGAAAAAAACTTTGCAAATAATGTGACCTCAAATGCAGTGATGCCATCTTTCCCATACATATGTCTAGCAGTCGTAGTCCGGTAACGAATAGACGAGAGCAACCAAGAAAATAAAATGAATGTTTTTTAGCACTGAACCAACTACATAACAGGCACTGACTGACATGAACCCACTAGGTTAGGTTAACAGGTATGTAGGTAGGTAGGTAGGTAGCTAGCTAGCTACCAGAATAACAACGAGCTAGCCAAAGCACCTAACCTAGGTACCTACACATGCCGGGCATATGCACGATACGGGTACATTAGGTCAGAAAATGTCAGATCAGATGGGGGGGAGGGGGAAGAAAAGGAGGGGGGGGTGTGCTTCCACTTGCCTAAAGCGGGTGTTAGCCAAGTTTTGCGGTGACGGTTCGGTTCGGTTTGGTTCAGTTGAGTTCGTCCTTGGGTTGGTTGTGTATGGTAGGCTAATGTTTATTTGCTTGGGGCTTGGGGCTTTGGGGGTTGGGGAGTACGGCGTTTTCTCTTTGGCTTGCTCTGGCTCTGGCTCTGGCTCTGGCTCTGGGCTTTTCCCCACGTATGTATGCGGCCGGGTCGGGGCGCAGCAGCGGCGGCGGCAGCAGCAGCAAGTGACTTCTTTTTTTTTTTTTTTTATCTTCTTTTCGGATGGTATGAGAAATTGTGTATTCATTGGAAGTTGAGTGTTTTATTGTATCGTGGCCTATATTATAATTCTATAGTTCGTTCCGGTTTAATATCTTACCTTGATGGCGGATGGATGGGATGGATGGATGTGTAAGTGGATATAGGGATAGTATATTAGATACAAATATAGATACCTATGTATAATGGATCATGTATAATGTATAATGTATAATGTATATCCCCCATCCCCCCGCGTCAGGCGTGCAGCTAATAGGGAACAAGGGACGAGCGCCTGTTACTATGTAGGTTAATCCCGTCCTGCTCAGCGTAGCCTTTTTCTCTTTTAATGCCCAGTCTGCTGCAGAAGCTCACATGCACTGCTACTTTTGGGATTCCTATCCGTTTTCTTCGTCCACCAGTCTGTCTTGCGTCTTTTCCCCTTTTCCTTCTTTTATCTTTTATCGTGAATATCTCCGAGCATTGCCATTACATACATACATACATACATACATACATACATACATACATACATACATACATACATACGTACATGTCAGTTGGGTAGGTAGCTAAGGCAAAGGTTGGGTCGGAAGGCCAGTGGGAGCGGCCGTCACGGCGCATATATATGGGCAGTTCCAAGACAGGAACGCGCAGCGGTAGGTAACGGTGGACGGGCGGGTGTGTAGTAGCTGCGGAGCGCTAAAATGTAATGTATTACGAAGCGGCCGTGTAGGCGGCCCGTTTTGTTAGCCAGTGTGATGTGCAATTACATAGATGATGGTAGTTAATACATAGGTCACCGACATAGGTAGGCATGTCTGGTATGTATGTGGTGTAAGTGGTGTAAGTGGTGTAAGTCTTGTATGTCATAATGCCATAGATGTATGTGTGTCTCACTCCCTACTTACATACCTCTTACACACACATACCTACCTACATAATATACATTCGATAGTCTTGTTAGTAATAAATAAATAACTGACGATAGCAACATATCCAGGAAAGAAACCAAAGAACTCGATTTCGCGCTCGGCGTGACCTCAATTTCTTCCCCTCGCCCATACGGCCCATACACACGGGCCACCCTCACCCTCACCCTCGCCCTCACCCGTATCTACGTAAATATAGGTACGCGTACGCGCGCCTATACACGCCCACATGCTGTCTCAAACACGGGACCTGGAGGAGCCTGCAGGTTAGAGCGAGGTTGGACGTTGTAGCGTGGGAACTCGGACTCGTCATAGGAGGGGTGGGTTGGTGGTTGTTCACGCGAGACAGAACTACGGTCCAGACGAGCGCGAAGAGGGTGGGCAGCCTATGAGGGCTGCTCTGGTCTCGTGGGTGACAGCTGGCCCTCCTTACCTAACGAGGGCAGACCTATTCCCGTTGGTGGGTATTGGGTATATGCAAGCAGACGGGCCTATAGGCTCCCCGTATAGGCGATCAATAGGCGATTATTGGGACTTGGAAACTCAGCTAACGCTCGGAGGGGTTGGTTCGGTACCTAGCTATGAATACATAATGTAGCATGTATGTGAGTATGTGAGATCACAAGTAAGATCGGAAGACGGATGTTCACATCTGCTGCCAATTTTAGTCGGCGAGTTTTGTCTTTGCTTACTCCTCGGCCTGCCTTTACCATACCATATTATACCATACCATACCATGCCATGCCATGCCATAACCCTTACCTTACAACCACCACTCACAATCGCATCATACATGTGCGCATATACATACTACTAGACAACAAAATGCAAAATGCAAAAAAAAAAAAAAAAAAAAAAAAAACTATGCATAGGACATCAATATCCAGGCACATGGCTTACAGTGTCTCGCCCTGTGATCTACGCCCGCTCCCGGAATGACATATAGGCTTTGCCCAATGGCAGCAAACACAACGTACAACAACGCCCCTATTCAACGGTCAGTTTCGTCCGACGCGTCCGTCGCCAACGACCGGGCAGCCGGGACTTTGGCCGTTCGGAGGGGACCCCGGGGGGAAGGGGGGGCACAAAGCACGGCTAGCTGCTTGTATTGGTGCTTGTCTATCGTCTCTCTGCTTAGCTGTTACTATCGTACCATCATGCCATCGTCCGACTTGCGGTGGCCAGTCGTCCCTCAGTCCTGCGTCTTGTCATACTCGGTACTTTTGTTTATCAATCCCCCCTATTTCCCCACGGGGTAGGGAGATGACTGTCCACTTGCCTGGCCTGAGATCCAAGGGCTAGTATCACGTATATGAGCATGCGATTAGCAAAAGGGCATAGATTGGCTGTTATCGACTCCCCTGAGATGAATATCGACTAATAGGATTTGACTGAGATGCTTAGTGTATATGTAGGTAGGTAGCTGTAGGTATGCTTACCGCCAGTGAGCACGAATAGGGGCTTGCGTGAATCTTCAGACGACAAGTCCTTCGCTCGCTCATAACCCTGCCTCTTCTGTAGCAGATTAGTCACAAATAACAAAACGTATCACCACGTAGCTATCCGGCTTTGTTGCTTTTGTGTATACGTCGTATTTCCATTTCTACGATCGGCATACCTGACCTGTCACGTAAGTCCCGATGCGCTCCAGAGAAATCTATCACAAGCCCGCGAGCCTATCGTCCTACGTCCCTCCCAAGCACGCAAGGAAAGCACGCAAGTAAAATATGCCTTACATTGCCTACATACCTACTTATATAGAAAAGCGACAAATCGAATACCGTCGCATAAGTAACACGGGATCGCCAGACTATCCGAATCCTACGATACCCAGGTAGATAAGGTAAGTTTTTTTATCCCGGCATCCGGTCAAGACGCACGGAACGCCATTAGCGGGAAGCTCTGCTGCTGCTGCTATCTGATCTACAACGCGCTGCAGAAGAGACAAAGAACGGGGGGGCCTGATAAGATGGTGGACGATGACGGGTCTGTGATAAGAGGTAGTCAACGTGCTGTATACATAAGATATTGTATGTATGTACGGCAGCAAAACGGACACTGCGCGGGAGGGATCTTACCCGGACTGCGAGCGAGGACTTGCGATATGATACGTAAGAATATCAGTAAATGCCTAGGTTACATAGGTATGTATATCAGACATGCTACGTATGACAAGAAGAAGGTCACCCGGGGAAAAGAAAACCTCCCTGTAAGACGTTCCGCAGCATAGTGCCATCCGGGGACACGCGGTAGCTATCCGGGCCCGTAGGTTAGGAATTGCTTTACGTACGTACATACATACATACATACATGAAAAGCGAAGGCTCTGGAGTCCGAGGGATAAGAGGTAGATAGATAGATAGACAGACAGACAGATAGATAGATACCGTTTATGCGCCCAGTTACACTACTTAATCTACAACTTACCTACCTACAACCTATGCTCTCAGCCCCTCTCGCGTCGCACACGTCGAGAAGATGAGACGATACTAAGAGTTCGGTCAGCCGGTGCTGACTCGTACCCCACGTGAAGGGGGCAGGGCAGCGAGGGAGATAGCCTAACTTGGCTATCTCGTCGCTAACTAAGCCTGAGGCTCATCCATCACGGCTACGTACATCACGACGACTACCTTCTCTTCATGCACGTATCTCATGTAGGTAGGTATGTATGTAGGTATGTATGCTCTCCAAGCCCAAGAGTCGATGTGCAAGGACCGATATATTAAGATATATGAAACAAATTACAGGCGGGTTAAATCAGCCGCATATATATTCTCCACATGGGAAAGACGCCTCAAGACAGCCAGACTGGGTGGAGGGCAAAGGGATGGGGGAACCGGGCACCAGTTCTCCTCGACGATCGGTTCAAGAACAGTCAAATCGGCCTCGACTGACCGCCAAACAAGCAAGTCAACCTGACCAACCAACAATTCCAATTAATTATCAACCCGCATATCCATCCCTATTGGTAAATTCCGACTCAGAGCGGAGTAAGAGGCGGCTGTTGAGATACCCCAAAGTGCACATTTAACTATCGAATGCCCAGGTAAAACCCATAAAACCCATAAAACCCGTAAAGCCAAGGCCGATCACAACGATGGCGTATGCAAGAACCAAAAGTATCTGACCATCTTCACACCCCCTTTTTCTCACTTGCTCGTCCTCTCTCGGCGCCCTCCTGCTACCTACATGCTACGAGGTGTGTAAGACAAGAACAGAATAATAAATATGCATTCCCCCACAATCGTCATTGCATATGCAAAGGTGATGCACAGCATCTCTAGTTGCTACCGGCTGCGGCCATTCTGAAGAAACCCCGCGAATGAAGCAAAAGCAAAAGGAGAACAAATAACAATAAAAATATCCTCTTCCGTTTTCCCTCGACGCCCAGGCGGATTCGCTCCTCCTATCGTCATGTCTGCGAGTGCTTGTCTCGGTAAACTAACCTACTATTGAGAAGCCCGCATCCATTGCGCTAGGATGCCGTGATAGGGGCTACACGGGCTGCTGGGGACGCTATGTATCCAATTGGCAAATTGGCGAGTTGGCGAGTTGGCGAATTGGCGAATAGTCGTCTCCGTCTCTGCCAGCCTATCATACGTAGTGTAGTGTAGTCATCGTCGGTCCAGGAGGGGCATACTGCTTATTTCTTCTTGGAGTTCGTAGGATTATACTTGTCCTTCCAAATCCTGCACCCCGTGCGTCATTGGTTAGTAAAAATAATGTCACACTGGTAGGTAGATGGGTATATGCTGGGTATATGCTAGATTCGGAGAAGCTCGGCAAAGCGAGACGGAGTGTAGGACAGCGCAGAGTTAGGGGCAGATCAGGGTAGATCAGAGTAAACAAAACCGGACTGCTCCGCTGCAACTGAGGCATTTACATTGGATATGGACGTGGGACGGTAGCAAGCGCCATACGAGGGTAAGAATGGAATTGAGGAAACGAAGAGCGACATTTCCCGGATTCGGTGAAAGATGAGGCTCTGATTCGTTTAGACCCCAACTCGGCGACCCGTTTTCGCGGCCGTCTTTTGATGGAGACGAGCCCAAAAAGAGGAAAAAAGCGAAACCTTGTTCTAGACCCGCTCGGAGCCTTGTTGTCAAAAGGGAAAAAGGGAAAAAGGGAAAAATAAAAAATAAAAAGACAGGGCGAACTCCTGCAAATACGTCCGGAAAGACGGACAGCCTATCGTCTACCCCGAAGACCACTCACCCGCAACGGCCGGGGTCTCGTAGGTCTCGTAGGTCTCGTAGGTTTTGCTGTGCCGCCGACGTACGGGACGAGACGACAGAGGAGAAAGGTCTTGCCAAGAGAAAATAAAGACTAGTCATACGAGTAGCTTACGAGATGGGAGAATAAATGTGACACTTACCATGTATTTCCTAGCGTCTTGTTGCCGTTCTCTTCCGCCAGACGGTAGTACCTTGCTGCAGCATACTAAAGGGGAAGCATACAGTTAGTCTCATGTGATTTTTCTCTCCCTTCCCTCCTTAGGCACGCAGATACGCAGATGGAACGGGACGTTAGGGCGAGTTAGGTACTCCAAGAGCTGTCGCCCCTGGGTGTGCGATTCTGATTTGCGGCTGGAAGCAAGCCTCATTGCTGCCCAACGGGACGGGATCGTGATTTAGGACCGAGCAGCAGGGCTGCTTTAGCTTGCCGCTACTGCTTCGGAGACAAGACATCCTGTTCTAACCCCGGGAGCTAAGCGAACGAGCTGACCAGACAAGCCACAATCCAGGCCACATGAGGCTGACACTTCATCATGCCTAGCTGTCGCTCGCATGGTGTGGTAGTGGTGAGCTTTGGGCAGAGACGTGAGGCGCCGGATTTGGAAGTGATACGTAGCGAAGAGAGGTAATAGATAGACAGCGAGGAGACCTAGCTTCGCGCCTAACGTACCTTGTCTTTCTTGCATCCGAAACCCTCCAGATAGCACCAGGCGACTTCATTCATGGCATCTGCGTACACCGAGGAACATGCCCTTGTCAGCCTATCCCATCACCAAGTCCGTTCAAGCAACGGCAACGGCAACGGCATTGCCTGCCTTCGACGACGTCGAACCACTCACCAGTATCTCCAAGGTTGGCCGCTGTCTCGTAGTACTGCCCGACGGTAACCATTAGTCGATTTGATCATCATGACAAAACAGCGGGACTTGAGACGAGGTCTGGCCAGTGGGTACAAGGTGTCGTTCTCCCTTCTCCTTAGCACTCCTCACCCACTTGCCCACTTGACCTCCGTTATGCTTCAATAATGAAACGGTAATGGGGTTGGGGTTGGTGGCCCACCTGCTTAGCAGCGACTGGATCTCGCGGTATGCCCCAGCCGTGGCGGAAGCAATTCGCCAATTCGAAGATAGCCAGGACGAGTTCTCCCTTAGCGGCACCTCCTTTCTTTAGGCCCGCCTGTAGCGCCATGCTCTCGACCGCTGCCGCATTCGACGCTGCCGCCGATAGGTAGGTGATAGCTCGTTCGGGATCTGGATCGCAACCCCAGCCGTGCCTAAAGTTCCGCCAAAGCACCAAGGCAGGATGTTAGCTTCTCCGAACGTAGGTACTCTTGTCTTCTTCCGTAGTGGTACTTCGTGTTCGTATGTGAGCAACTTTGCCACCATCGCTCTATTCGCTTGTGTAATCTACCTAGCTGCCCATAGTTACCCAGAAGCTGTGAATCTCTCTCCCCCTTTCTCTTTCGAGAATACAGGAAAAGAGATCAGGGGCATTCTCTAGATGGGTCTAGACGTAGCCATGTGCCAGTGAGACACGCATGAGACGCGATAAGATGCGATGCGATGCGGTGCGGTGCGGTGCGGTGCGATGATTCCATAAATAGCAATGAAACGACGATGGTGGCGATCCAACTACTGACCTTAGAGCAAGACCGTAAAGAACCTGACTTAGGGGGTTATTCGCGCCCTGGGGATCGGCCAGACGTCCAAACAGCTGCGTAGACTGGTCGAGCTGCCCATCCTCGTGCAATCGGATGGCTTCCTGAATGTTGTCGTCTATCACCTTTGACGAGACCACGCCGTCCGTCTTGTATCCGTTTCCGTTTCCTCCGTCATCACGCAGCCGCAATCCAGCCAATTCTGCCGAGGGCGAAGGAGATGGCGACCGAGACGGCGACACGACACCAGGCGATCTGCTGCTCCGGCGCTGCCCTCTCTCGTTCGCTTCGGCTAGTATCGTCGCTCTCTTCTCCCATTGTCCCTCGTATGCGTCCTTGTCTATACCCGCCCCTCCGACTCCTCCTTGGCCGCCACCCGATCCAACTTCGGCCAAGACGTTGATTTGCGGTAGATTTTCGGGCACGTAGTCGGACGTAGGCGGAGCTTTAGACAGGTGCAGACGCTGTGTTATGCGATGGTGGCCGCTGGGTTGGTTGCGCGAGGAGCCGTCGTTCTGGACCGAGGATGTGCTGCTGCCCCGCGATCGCGGCCTGAAGACGTCAAGACTACGGCGCGTCTTCGAAGGGGACGTCGCGGCCTCTTTGGCTGCTAGGTAATTGTTATTGCCGTTATATGCCTTGGAGTAACTCGGAGGATGAATGATCTCTTGAGTGCTCGTGTCGGACCGTATGAAGGTAAACTCGGGCCCGGCGAGTCTATCTAAAGTTTCGCGATCTACGCCGCCGCCTTGACCACCACCATCTAGTTGATCTTTCTTTTTGATAAGATCGCGTATCCCCATGGCTTACCTGATTTAACGCTTTTAGTTTTTTCTTTTTCTTTCTTTTCCTTTTGCTTTTCCTTTTGCTTCTTCTTAAGGGGTATAGTTAGACCAAAGAAAAGTTGTATAGTTATATAGGTATATATAAACACGGCGATCTAGTTGTAATAGTTGTAATCTACGAATATAGTTGCGGAAGTTGGAAAACAAAATAATTAATGGAACCCCGATTCCAATTGAAGGCAGTCATTTCCTTCTTTAATAGGCCTCCATTATTCAAACTGTTAGCCCAATTCATTCAGCCCCAGCTTACGCGCCGAGCTTTGAGCAACCTTAAAAAGGGGGGCTATGATTTCCGACGTTGAATATTCCGTAAAACGAATAAAACATGCTATTTCCCCCTATTTTGGCCCTTCAAGTAACAAAGGGAAACTGCGTCTTTGTTTCAATCCTTGTGCCTAGGTAAGGTTGTGCTATGTTCCAAGTTTTGGTAGTCCGAGGTACCTATAGTTTCATATTTTCATAGAGCCCCTTCGCCTTGCAGCGTTAAGTTATTGGCGGGGTTATGTACCTCCTAACTTCCAAGTACATATTGTACCATAGGAGGTAGTATTAGGTACCTAATTATAGAGCACAAGGCTCTAATTATGACCTACCTATTCAAGCCCCATAGCCAAATCTTATAGGCTATCATGAAGGGTCTAGAATTCGCATGTGAAAACAATTAAATAGGTACTCTTTAATCACTCTTAATCACTCTCAAGATGCCATCGTGATTATACAATATATTTATTTTCTATTGTAATTGACTATCTTTCGTTCTTTCTTTTTTCTTCCACTCAGGGTATCAACTCCTAACGGTCGCCTAAGGCGAAACGCATCGCAATGGGTATCACGAACTGTTGTACGAATAAGGCAACCTTCAAACGCCAACGAACGGCCGTGATATGTGCCGTCTAGATGCTAGCTGAGGAGCCAGAAACCGATTCTAAGAAAGGTACCTAGTACATCGCCTTTGGCAATATAGGCTTTGTCCAAACGAGCCATATCTTCAATGCCTAGATAGTTAGTAAGAAACCGACGAGGCTTGTTAAAATCCAATGTAATCCCTTTGCTGGACAAAATCGAGGTCCTCTTCGCCATCGTTTTTGATAAACTCTTCAACCTCATCAGAGTCGATGTCATCGCTGTCTGCTGTAGCGTCATCGTCGTCGCTAGATACATCTGTATCCTCAGAAGATGCGCGGTTGTTTGCTTTTCGAAGGACACTAGCCCTTTCGATGTGAAGCCGCTTACAACCCTTGAGCTTACATACACCGGTGTTGCTAAAGTCAGGACATTCGAATACATGGCGGTCAGGACATTGCGCTCCTTTCTCGCAGTATCCATAAATTCCAAAGGATCGGCATACGGGGTCTGTTGGGGAGTGTGCCGCATGGATATATGAGCACGAGGTGTTGTGGCAATTGCCCTTGGCGAAATGCACGCAGAGAGGGGTTCTCTCCTCTGTAATGTCATGTGAAAGGTCACAAGCGTCACCTTGTAGACATTTACCCTTTAAAAGATACTCTCGGCAGATAGCCGTCTTGGAAGCATCGTGGATATACCGACATCCAGGGCCTTTCGGGCATGATCCTACGACAAATTGTTAGTATCTCTACTGGGGGTCTTACCACGCCGCAGGTCTCCACGAATCGCGAGATGGGCTTTTTCGTAGTATGAAGGAAGACGATACCGGTCCATGAAAAGGTCTTGCACTGCTCGTTGACCTTCTTGACTCCGCCAGCAAACCTACCGACAGCGTTGCGTTAGCAAGAGATTCATATCTACTTGAGAATACATACCGCTGAGCTTTTACGACACCGTGTCTCACAAGATTGCCGTGCTTAGTACGATGAAATTTGACACCACCGATTGATGTCACTTTGGGAGTAGCCGAAGGGGGGTTTACGTCGTCTAATGATTAATCGTTAGCTATTAAACGCCGCACCTGCATATCTATACGGGGAAAATGCTCACCGGGTGCTTTCACAAGCTTGCTACCTTGTTGCACAACTCGAAAGAGAATGCCATCCAGCACGACCTCGTATTGGGAAGCTGGTGTGGATGCGCTAGGAAGCCCAACGGGTTTACCATTAGCACCCCTCTGAAGCACACTGTTCATAAAAACAGCCTTCTCGCGGTTGTTCCTTTGAAACTGTTTCTGACGATGAGTCTGCTCTATGGCACTGGCGCGTTGCTGCGATTCTTTCTCGTATACAGAAGTGTTGATCAGCTGCATATGACGGTCGGTCTTCGTGACCCACGACGGAGACGCAGGATCGGAAGCCTCGTTGGTGGTATCATTACTATCGGCTGCAGATCGAGATTGTCCATTGAGAACCAGAGTCTTGTTGCGATAGGTCGGGAGGGGTCTGCCACGTCCGCCACGATATCCTCCACGAGGATACGGGGCAGCACGATAATGGGATGCTCGGGAAGGGGGGTTAGGATCTTCGGTATATTAGCGTCTCTAATAATACCAAATAATTGGCGCGATCAAATAAGTTTTCATACCCGAATTCACGCCATCGCGCTGGGCTTTGTGGCGATTAATCTGACCTGGTTTTGAATGAGTAAAATACACTTAGAACTTAGGTGCCATGGTAAACATACCAGCTAATTTGCTGATCTTGGCCATCAGCTCTTGATCTTCGGGTGTTGACATGTTTGCGACTAAGTGATGAGACGCAAGTCGGGTACTAGAAGTTAGAGAAAATGCCTCGTCGATCGTGAGTAAGGAAATATGCTTCAAGATGGAAAAGTTGTCAGATAGGTGGAATGATATGCAGTGTAATAATGTAATGTTTATCTAGAGCGCGACTTCCTTGCTTAGTGGCAAGAAGGGGAGAGAAATCGGTTAGGGTGGAGTTCCGCAGTCGCAATGAACAAAGCCGGAATGCATGAACAACGCTGGCAGTGATTCTGGTTAGGCGCGGTAATAGAATTACGGTCAATGAATCTAGAGGGAAATTTATGATGTATATGCTTGTGAATAAGGGAGGAAAGCAAACATTGAACTGGCGTCTTGTAACCTAACAAGACTATCGTGATGTTTTTTGATTGTGTGATGTCTAAGACGTGAATTGCGGCGCAAGGAAGGTTTCGGGCGCTTTGGTGGAAAGTAACGGGTTAGGTGGGGCACATTAACCTTATCTAATCAGAACATCGGATCTAGAAGGCACCTACGTAGGTGGTACATCATAGGCACCTGCTAGCTGTACATTCAATTTCGAACTCCTGTATGATTACCTAAGGCCAACCTATCAACCTTACCACCCAACCTATTATCTAAGGCCCTTTGAAGACCCACTCAAGCAGAACTGCTTGCAGTGGTGGCTGATTTACATGACTACTACATCATTAAGCTTCTTTTAGCCTTGACACGAGCCGCGCGCTCGACCCTTTAGACCTTTCAACATCAACATCCAACTGTTTCACCGCATCGCATCCACACACCACATTTCCGGAGCAATATAAATCGAAATTATTACAGCATACAATTGGATACAGCCGCCAGCATGGCTGCACCCAGAGTCAAGGCCGAGCAGGGTATCAAGCCTGAGCCTAGCATCAAGTCTGAAGCTGATGATGTTGGCCCTTCCCCCGGAGCTATGTCGGAAGATGACATCTACGAAGACGCCGGAGATCTTGAGTTCTACGACCCGAGCGATATGCAAGACGGGTCGGTTTACTTGACCCACGTACCAAAATATCTTTACGATGCCTGGGCGAACATGGATGACAATGACGAAATCAGAATCGGTACTCTACGCCAGTGGTCAGAGGTTGGTCCAAATGGAGAATCAAAGGTGAATTAACACTCATCATTCCGAAACGCTTATAAACCCCAGCTAATCCCGTCATAGCCACGTATAGCTGTCTTGTTGGACCACAAACTTGCGCCCCATCAGCAGATCCCCAAAGAATACAATCTGGAGGTTAAGGACATGAGCCTTACCAATACATTCCTATTCACTGAGCAAGATCTTCCTGGCTACAAATCGAAGGCTCAAGGAGCCAATAGCGATATTCCTTCATACCTACGTCCGAAGCCAGAGCGTCCCCAGCAAGAGCGTCCCCAGCAGAACGCACAGCCAGAGGGCGAAAAGCGTGGCCGCAAAGCCCGATTTCAACCCTATTACAGGAAGGCTATTCCCAGTCAGTGACGCATTTCCACCTACCTCGGCATTTAGTTCCCGCCTCAGAACACTAATTGGATGCAGAGAAAACGGTTCTTGCTGGTCGATTCCGCCACGAGCTGAACTGTCGACCGACTTGGACAGAAGAGACTAAGCATTGGCTCAGCATAAGAAATAATGATGCGATGAAACCGAAGGCCACCACCACGCTTACCTCTACCGCAAGACCTACCGGTCTTATCCAAGCTGGCGCGCATGTTTCCAACGATAAATTTAGCAACTTTGTTGTAAGTCTTCTCTCGACGTTAACCTCCAACCCCTCCAATGCGCTAACATTTTCAGCGCACTGGTCCTGATGCCAAGAAGGGAGCCAAGAAGCAGAAGGAAGAAAAGGCTGCTCGTTTACCAAAGAGCGAGCTGCGCGATCGTATCTTCAGGTGCTTCGAACAATTCAACTACTGGTCTATGAAAGCTTTCAAACAAGCACTAAACCAGCCGGAGGCTTGGCTACGAGAGAACTTGGAGGAGGTGGCGATCCTCCACAAGACCGGACGTTTTGCCAATCACTGGGAACTGAATTCAGACCACAAGGGAGGACTGAATGTCCTCGAAGCCAACGGTGCCGCACCTGATACCGCTCCCGAAGAGGACGAATCGGAGTCTGACGCGGAGATGGAGGATGTTCTTCCATAATCGGAGCACGGGAGAGAGCTCCATCGGGAAACACGAGTGACTAAAGGCCATACGGCAGGGAAAAGGAGTTACGGCGTCTTTTACGGTTATGATACATAATAGGGACCTTGTACCATAAATGATACCCTCGGCATCGCACAATTAGGACTGAGGTTTAGTGGTCAGAGTCTGCGCAAGTTCAGACTACATGAAATCCATTACTGCTGCGGAATGGACTTCGCAAAGCTTAGAGAGAAGGCGACATGTTTGTACATTGATCGATATGCGAAACGACAATATGTTTCCAGTGTTTTTGATAGTTTGGTTTTTTTTTAAACATTGTTATGAGCCAGCTTTAGCAAATATTGACTCGCTTGACATATTCATACTAAATGAATTGCTCTATTATTTCTTAGCACGCACTTGAACCTGGTAATGAATTCACCTGGTCAAGCTATCTTACGTCAAATTAATATTAAATATAAGACCCCTTTTCAAGACTCCATGTACTTCCGTACTCCTCGTAAGAGATGATGTCCACTCCACTCCCGACTTACTATGTACATTAGGTATCTCCACAATTATATTACCTAACTCCAGCCAACCAACCAAAGCCGAAATAACATCGACCCCCTTTTCTCCTTTTCCCCACTCTCCATCATCCCCATTCGTGTACCTTGTACACATTCATACCTACATATAGGTACCTACTTCATAATGAGCATATTTCTAGACTTCGATGGCACGATCACGGTGAAAGACACCGTAGGCGAACTTGCCAACTTCGCTCTGCGCGTCAGGGCAGACGAGGGCCAGGACCTGCAGAAGGAGTGGGATGCCGTCGTCAACGCTTACGTCGACGACCACAGCGCTCACGTGGACGGGTACCATCCCCAGCCGCACGCGCGCAGTTTGCCCGCTCAGGAGGTGGAGTTTTTGCGGCATATGAAGACGGTTGAGACGCGCTCGCTTGGCCGCATTAACGACTGTCGCCTCTTTAGGGGGATCAGTCCGACTGTTTTCCGCGAGGCTGGCCGGGACTTAGTTGGCAAGGGCACGATTACGCTCCGGTGTGGGTTTACTCGGTTCGTTCAGGCGAGGCTGAGGCAGGGCTGGCGCGTCTGGGTTCTCTCTGTGAACTGGAGTTCCGCGTTTATCGAGGGCGCGTGCGGCGAGCTGTCCGGCGTCAAGGTCATCGCGAACGATGTGCGCGAAGACGGGTCGGTTGTCGGGCCCCCTATACTGAACTCGGAGGGTGCTGATGCTGGTCGTCGTGGGGAGCTGAGGAATTTGACGAACTCGCATGATAAGCTCGATGCCATGAAAGCCGTGCTTGAAGCCGAGGGGCTGGTCGGGAAACCGTCGGTCTACTTTGGCGATTCAACGACTGATCTAGAGTGTCTGCTCGCTGTTGATATGGGGTTCGTGGTCTCGGATAAAGAAGACTCGTCGCTGTTGAAGACGCTTCGGAGGATAGGGAAAGAGGTGTCCCATGTCCGGGATCAGGGTACGACGAGTAGTCTTGCGTGGACTTCAAATTATAAAGATATACCGGATGACAAGTTTGTCCTTAGTTGAGAGAACGAATGAATTAAAAAAAAATTTGCGATCATAGCCTCTTAGTTCCTATTATTTGATATGTTTGGTGAGAAGTAATGACACTCCTGTCGCAAATATTTGCGCATTTATACCACACATGCTATCCAACACCCGTCGTTCGATCCAGGGGTAAATAAATATTTTGAAAATATGACTCGACACGTCCTACTTCGCACCTTGTCTTCTTTCCTTTTTTACTTTACCTGATATAAACGATGATTCGGTATCTATTATCGTAAAATGACACTACCTCGTAAATACACGATGCCTTCCCGCTATCACACTTATTCGAGACACAGTCGCAACTCTTTTGTTTAGCATTTCCTTAGACCTCTTATCCAGCAAACATGTCGATATAAAATTTCCATATCTGTTAATCTCCTCCTATCCCTAGGCTAAGTAAGGTGTGTAATGCCTTTTTTTATGGTTCTAGTTCAAGTATAGCAATTTTGCTCTGCCTCCTTTAAGAAACGTTGGTCAGGTCGCTAGAAGGTGAGTCCAGGTTAAATCCCTTATACCATAAACAACGGCCTAACTGAGGAAATCAATGATCCCATGTCCTTAAAGCAAGGGCAATTGGACTATGGAAGGCGGATAGAAAATCTACAACTATAGTATGGCATACCTATCCTATTACGCTAGGGCACAACTCTGGGCTGTGTGTTGGATTGGATGGTAAGTGATCGTGGAGAAACCCTTAGGATTGCTATAGCGGGAAACTTGGGTTTCGAAATAATCCGACTCGTATATGCCTATCAATTTACCTTAATTCATGTTAATTTCATCTAAAATTATATTATAGAAATGGGTTTGGCTTCTGTGGTTTGCTTCTCAGATGGAATCTAAGATAGTTTTATTAGTATTGCGTGCTATTTACGTCTTCGACTTCCCAGTTTCTTCTATAGAGCATCCATCTGCTGGTTCTTCCGTGTTTCGCTTCTTAACAGATAGCTAACCTAGGTAAATAATTGAGTATTTTATTCCTAAGCAGGACTCTGTTTAAGCCTCCGAGAAGAGCCAGTTAGAAGTTACAAAACAAATGCTATTGTAGTTAGACAAATATGAGAATATGTAATTGATATTGAATCATATTGAATCGTATTTAATTAATTTAATTAATATCTTTCACGAAGTTTTCAGTGTTTACTTGAAAATGATCTGGCAACAATTCATCTTCCTAGGAAATAGTCGTAGTCTGTAAAATACTAGATAGGTAACTCTGAATATACCCGAGAGTAGGGCGTGCTTAAGGGGTGACTAGGTGAAGACAAAGACTAAGAAAAGCCAAGGAGCCATCCCAACCTTTTGGATCTGAGATATGACCTAGCACATGAGTGGCTCGATGACAGGCAAGAGCTCATCTGATACAAGCTTGACTCAGTCTAGACACATATGTCCTTCAATCGTCGATAATCTCTCTTAGATATCCATTCGAAACTTTGTTACATGATCGCGGCCATACTGTAAGCAGCAGTTGTACAAATTACTGTACTTTCTCTTCGTCGTGGTATCATCATGACCGTAGCTCAATGACAACCTTACACACACATGCGGTCTTGTTGGTGATGATTCACGTATCATACATTAGCAGCGTGTTTGATGATGGCGACTACAAACCCTTTGTCAATCCTTCGTCAGCCCTTCGTCAACCAAGAGTTCCCAGCACATCTCCCGGAAGCTCTTGGGGCATCTGCTAGGTAGGTAGCCAGCATACTTAAACATGACCATGGCTCTCATCATCCCTCTTCCAACCATCCCAAAAGAATGTTACTAGCAGCATTTACTCGAAACCTTCCTTACCTGGCTTAGAAGTATCATGAGTTCCGGTACCACTGAGTCAATAGTCCCTAACGGGACTGAGCGAGAGGCGCTTCGAGAGAGGTTCGACAGAGGAAGCATACCCGACGTGCATAGAACGTATTACGGCGGGTATAGCACACCTTACGCTGCTAATATCCAACAGAACCGAGGATACCCACCTCCCGGGCCGCCTCCGCCATACCCTCCGCCTCCACCTTACACTACGCCTCCATCTTATGCTCCGCCTCCGTACCCTTATCAGTCAAACCATACCCAAACAGCACTACCGGCTATACCATACTACCCTAACGCTAGCTCGAGCCGACAGCCTTACCCGGGTCCGTCTCCAGGATGCCACAATCCGAGATCTCGCTCAACTTGGAATCAACAGGCAGTACCTCCCAGGGCGCCAAATGCTCCCCCGGCTCCCCCGTTTCGATCTCCCAGGGTAGTACTAACCCCCCAACACTCTGGATCCGCGGACCCCAACCCATTTATGTACCTCCAGCACCACGCCTCCGGAAGCCCATTCGCTAACTATCCCGCTGCGCCAAGGACCGGACACCGACAAATCGGACCAATGGCCCCGGTGAACCTGGATGAGCGGCCCGAGACAGTGTCGTTCTGGACAGAACAAGAGCTCTACCAGCGGATGGCCGACATATTCAGGCCACTTGTAGGCATCGTAGGACGCATCGTCCGGGAACAGCTGTACCTGCAAGAGCAGCCAAAGGTCAAATTCGACATGTACCCAGTAAGGGCCGACGATGTCACCGGCGTACCTTTGATGGTGCCACATTCCATGTCGCGCGGCCCCATGTTCCAAATCACGCTGCCGGCTCCCGGGGGCACCAGGGCCGACCTCAAGAAGGTGCGGGACGCGCTGAAGAACGAGTTCGCGGTCCACGCCAACGCCTGGCACCGACAGGCCGGGTTCGTGTTCCGGATCTCGCGGCGGCATCGAGTAGGAGCGTGCGCTGCTGCGAAGAGGTCCTGGGTCCCGCCGTCGTGTGTCTACAGATACTCGCGCACCGAGCGGTGCTACGTGGCGCAGTATCTCTCGCCGATCCTAGAGGATCTTCAGGAGCTCGATGCGGCTTTTGTCCACGGCGATGATAGCGACGATGATCAGGACGCGCTGGTGAATGATATGTGGAGGGATGTGCGGAGCCGGAGCTACTTTGGGTACTATCAAGATCCTAGTGCGTAGGTAGTTACATAGGCAAGGAATGGATCAAGTAGGGGGTAGGAGGGAGACATTGATATAAGAGATTTCGAACTTCTGTCATTGAAGCTGGGAGTTTTTACGGGGCTTACATTTATTATCATTATCTTGGTCGAGTTTGTTTCCCGGTTTGGATTGTCAGCGCGGGAATATACCAGTTTGGCGATTGCTTTTCAGGAATAGGATATTTCTCTTTCGATGAATATATATATTCACCATCATTGACTTTTCTACTTGCTATCTTCAGTATCATTTCTGAATCAGGGTAATAGGCAGGCCAGTGATGCTGTTTTCGAGTTGAAGCAGAGGTTATACAGCGTATCATGAAAGACAAAGTAAATCGTGTGGTAAATACTCCGATGAGCAGAATCAGATAAGTTTTATTGAGAGCTTATATGATATAAATTTAAAAAAAAACATCCAACACGTGCACTCGCATACATTGGATTTACGTGTGAACACCTTTGTATGATTTCATGCCGATTGCCCCTTAAAGACCGAGGATGGCATAAAGGGGGTTATAAGCTAGGTAATTTTAACATCCTCCTAAACTGCTTTGGACAAGACAATGCACGGCATGCTATATTGAAGCCCAAGACAAATTAATAGGACAAGAACCCATTGTTACAGAACTAAGTAGTATGAAAGAAAAATAGCCCTTACAATCCCATTGTCAACTGAGAAACATATAATAGCTCCCGGCCTATACTAAATAGTTGTTTTCTAAGCTATACGATAACTAAAGCATAGATAATCCTTAGCGAATGATCATCTCCACTAGAACTCTTGCTCGTAATTAGTAACTCTAGTATTTTCATCGGAAGATGTGTCATCATCGGAAAATTATCTATCAGTGCAACCACACTGCCATTGACCCCTCTCCCCTGAAAGTCTGCGAGGTGCGGCGGGACCACGAGTCAGGGCTAACTTCGGGATCATGCGACGTTGTAGAGACACATGGATGGAGCAACTTCAAAGTTCCTCGTCTTTGCTCACTTTGTCATGACAAGAAGACAAGCCTTGATAACCGACTTAGCAGGGCAAAGTCACTGATAGCGGACCTAAAGAAGCAGTTGACCGAAAGTTACGACCAGTGTGTATTGCATATGGATGAGGCTGGCTTGGAATCCGAGAAGAAGCAGGAACCTTCTCTAGTGGTACCAGAGAAGGCGGCCACCGTAGAGTCGGATAGTGTTGACAATGACCCTGAAGAAACAATGGAGAAAATCGACCCTGTCGAGGAGTTCCTAAAGAAGAAGAAACAGGAGAGTTACGCTCATCTCATGATGATCTCGGATTACAAGTAATTAGGTAGTTTAGGTCGAGGGTAGGTATACTGTAATAGAAATCGCTTATAAACAGTTACTCCTATACGCCTCGAAGGAGGTAGGATATACCTTCGTATAAACCAATAGTCTTCTTGTGGCCTAAATGCCTTGCAATATAAAAATTTCTTGAACTTAGTAGAAAGACCAACGCCTGCTCGTGTATCTTCTAGCAAGTAAACGCTATAACTTACCTACCCACACGCACACGTATATATATACCTATACAGCCTACTCAATGACTGGCTCCTTTCACTGCATCATCATCATCATCATCCACTAGCCCTTACCAACATACCTAATAAGAAGCTTCAAAATACCCCCCACAACTTAGACCCCTCGAACCACACACCGTCCCGCCCGAACCAAAGATCAACAGCGACAAAATGCTATCCGCGGAGAGAATAATGACTATAGTGAAGTATATCAACTGCGGGCTCATAATAGCTATAGTCTTGATGGCCTCTCTCATTTGGCAAGCGCGTCTCCCTTACTACACCAGCTGTGCTACAGATTGCAATGTGATAATGAATAAAGTCATCAAGTCATGGTCCGAGCACTGGGGAGTTGGACAATGTACCTGTTTCACTAAATGAACTGCGAGAGGGGGGGGGGGGGGGATGCTGATATGTATATGACGTCTAAGAGGGAAGTTACATGATTGTAATATTTCATCGTTGAACGCGCTGGCGCGTGAGGATTGTGTTTACAGTACAGTACAACGCGGTATTACATCCCTCGCTCAAATATATTAGGTACCTACTTATCTAGTGCCTCTATTTGGGGTAGACAAAGGGACACAGGTCTCCTTATCTTAGAATAGCTTATAGTTAGACATTGAGAATAACAATAATCTCCACTTTACCTTTAATTTTTATCTTCTATCATCTTATATCCTGTAGTCGTGTCTTATGAGTATATCGAAAGTGAGAGAAACCGCAGGCGTATATTCATCTTCCTATTAGGCCGATAAAACTCGATATGCTTACAACTTAGTACACCGAATGAACAATCATTTTAGAGCTCGCCACTGTCGCTATCTTATGTCTATTAACCTCCAAACCGTAGAATCGGACATGATACGCAAGCACAGATGGATATATTATCAACTTGTTAATTGATTGTGGTATTGGTCGTCAACGTCGCGTACATAAGGATATAGGCTCACATATCATCGCCACGCCCTATGAAATCCTGTTCTAGACAATTTCTCTAAGCCTGAACCTTGAATGTTCTTCCACTTGCTGTCTTCCTCTCCTTTTCTTCGTTCTCGGGCCGGGCTCTTCGGAGTACTGTACTGATGGTTAGTATCTAAACCCCTCATGATGACGAATACAACCGTACCTTGCAGGAAGTCTGCTGTTCGCCTTCTCATACGGGAGTGAATGTATGCCTAGTCATCTCATTAGAATATCCCACGAATAGCTGGGTCCAGTATCCACGTACCTTGGAGGCTTTAATATGATAGTGGAAGTAGTCTCGGAAGGTCTGAATGTGAGAGATGACATCGGGCATTCGCTGGGGCGTCAGGTGTCGTGGGAATAAAACTACCGAGGTCAGTAGGGAACTTCGAAGAGCCTGCAATATAGAACATACCAAATGTGACATATCCAACTTCGTTACCTTCAGTTGCTTGCACGCCAGGAACCCCTTGCAATTCTAGGGGCGGATCATTCCTAAACAGAACTTGGGGTGCATTTTGGATGGCTCTCCTTCGGGCGTCGACGAATTCTTGAATGAAAACCTTCCCAAATACCCTGTCTGTCTCCTCGCGGAAGATGGTGCTGAAGATAACCGTTACACGATCGTGGCTTGCCTTGACGTAGATAGCTTCCTCGTCACGGTAGTGGATAGCCATAACCTCACCGCCTTCTCGAACACCTTGGGGTGCTTCTTCCGATGTGTACTTCGAAGCAGCTTCCTTTAACTTGTAGTGTTCGGCGTATGCATGCTCGAAAGGGGCAGCCATTGCGTTCCGCTTCAGCAAGGAGATCTTGCTGACCAACTCTTCTCGTGTCTCTGCAAAGTCCGTTAATATAACCCAAACTAGGCAAGACTATATTGTATTATGCAATTACCCTTTTCTTCCGGTAGGTTCTCTAAGTCGACCTGGACCGAGAAATCGTAGCCGGTCTCGGGTGCTACGACATAGGGGCCATACTCGCGCTGGAGCACCTGCTCGGCGCCGTACTTGACGAGATCCCTAAAGCATCGGATTTGAATGGATACCAATATCTTGGTCTTAGCCTCGGGAGTTGAGATGTGGAAAATTACGCCATCGAAGTCGGAAACGGTCTGGTCGATAGAGGCGGGAGGAGCTCTAAGTACATTATCATATGGTTAGACTAGGGGGGAGATATAATAATTAAACTTGGTTCTTAAACTTACCCAAATAGTCTTTCTTTGAGTATAGACTCTATTAATACATTCTGATAGTCTAGAAGCAGCATGATGGCTAAGGAATGGCTTCTTCTGCTTGCTTCCTGACGTTTGTGTGGTATGAATCGGGACGTGAAGCTGAATGTATGGAAATACGGAAAGGTTCAACAAGGTTCAACGAGGTTCAATGAGATTCAATGCTGCCTTGGTGGGGCTTAGGTACCTAGTATGCAGTTACGCGATTACGTAGCAAAGCGAGGACTATAGTGGACATGTCATTCTCCCTTATCCTTTATCGTTATCCATATTCTTATCGAAAAAGAAGTTCCGATAAGAATATCTTATCGCGCGTCTCCAGAGAAAAAAAGCTACCGCGATTGAATTTCTCGAGCAGAAGAAGTCAAAACTTCCAAACTCCAATTCCGTCGCAACCATGGTCAAGTCATACTTGTGAGTACCCGGCCATTGATGCATGATCGCATATAGATTGCGCTAATAACTATCCAATAATAGGAAGTATGAGTATTCAAAGTCGTTCGGCGTTGTAACCTCCAGCACATCGAACATCCTTTGGACCCAGCAGAACCGCTCCAGTACCGGTGCTGGCCAAGCGCTTGTCGCCGCGAACGAAGAGCTCCTATGCTGGGATATTAAGACAGGAGATGTTGTTGAACGATGGAGAGACGAGAAATGCTCCGCTCAGGTGACTGCCATTGCCCAAAGTCAGATCAATGAAGACCTATTCGCTGCCGGCTACGAGGATGGCAGCGTCCGATTATGGAGGAGCAAAGACCCGAGTCCCTTTATCACCTTCAATGGACATCGTTCGTCCGTCACAGTCCTAGCGTTCGATCGATCCGGCGTCCGACTCGCGAGCGGTTCGAAAGACACCAATGTTATCATCTGGGATCTGGTCGCAGAGGTCGGCCAGTTCAAGCTACGAGGGCATAAGGACCAGATAACAGGACTGCAGTTTGTGGAACCGCAAGAGGAAGTGCAGGAAGGAGAAGATTCTGAGGCCATGGTTCTCGATGGTGCAGGCGACTCTTCTTCCGAAGGCTTCCTACTTACTACTGGAAAAGATGCGTTGATTAAGCTCTGGGATTTGGGGTCGAGGCACTGCATTGAAACGCACATAGCGCAAACCAATGGCGAGTGCTGGGCATTGGGACTTTCTCCAGAATATAGCGGATGTATAACTGCTGGCAATTCTGGTGAACTAAAGGTCTGGGCTCTCGACGCTACTTTGCTCGCCGCATCGAGGCAGCAAGTCGATATTCCTGCCAACACACAATATCTGCGAGACCGAGGGACCTTATTTCGACACGGGAAAGACAAAGCAACCGAGGTTGTATTCCACCCCCGTCGGGACTACTTCGCCGTACACGGTTCAGAGAAATCTGTCGAGATATGGAGGATACGTACCGAAGCCGAGATTAAGAAGAGCCTAGCGAGAAAGAAGAAGAGAAGAAGGGAGAAGCTTGCACAGAAGAAGGGGAGCAGTACAAACGGCGACGCCCAACCAGATGACGAGGATGACCAGGACGAGGATGTTAGCAGTGCCGACATTAATGATGCTTTTGCTCAGCACCTTATCATTCGGACGGGTGGAAAAGTGAAGTCTGTCGATTGGGCTGATATCCATGGCAAGAAGAAGCTCCAATTGTTAGTCGGTACAACAAATAACCAGCTGGAAATGTTTAATATGCCTCTGAAAGAGAAGAGTAAAAAGTCAAAGCAGGAAGACATCCCCGATTACGAGAGAGCTTTATCCATTGAGATTCCTGGCCATCGAGCGGATATACGATCGCTGGCTCTTAGCTCCGACGACAAATGGCTCGCCTCGGCGTCCAACGGAGGTCTCAAGATCTGGTCGATGCTGACGCAGAAATGTGGCAAAACCTTGGAGTGCGGGTATGCTCTATGTTGTGCGTTCTTACCCGGAGACAAGCTTGTCGTCATTGGTACGAAAGGCGGCGACATTGAACTATTTGAAGTGGCTACAGGTACTTTGCTGGATAGCGTTACTGCACACGAAGGCGCGATTTGGTCCTTACAAGTTCATCCGGACGGTAGGTCAATCGTATCCGGAAGCGCGGACAAGTCGGTCAAGTTCTGGAAGGTCCAAGTAGTGCAAGAGGAAGTCCTGGGAACGACTCGGACTACATCGCGTTTGAAGTTATCACATTCGCGGACATTAAAGGTTTCGGATGACATCCTAAGCCTCAAGTTTTCACCAGATGCGAGGCTCCTGGCTGTTGCTCTACTGGATAGTACAGTGAAGGTGTTCTTCGTAGACTCCCTCAAATTATATCTCAACCTCTACGGACACAAGTTACCGGTCCTAGATATGGATATCTCATACGATAGCAAGCTGATTGTTACATGTTCAGCGGATAAGAACATCAGGATATGGGGTCTTGATTTCGGTGATTGCCACAAAGCATTGTTGGGACACCAGGACAGTATTCTACAGGTCAAATTCCTGCCGAACAACCGCGAAGGCAATGGTCACCACTTCTTTAGCGCTAGTAAAGACCGAACGATAAAATACTGGGATGGCGATAAGTTTGAGCAAATACAGCGGCTCGATGGTCACTACGGAGAAATATGGGCTCTAGCAATTAGCCAAAGCAGCGAACCTCCTTTCATCGTCAGTGCCAGCCACGACAAGAGCATTCGAACCTGGGAAGAAACAGATGAGCAGATATTCCTCGAGGAAGAGAGAGAAAAGGAGATCGAGGAGCTGTATGAGAGCACGTTAACGAAATCCCTAGAGCAAGATCTAGATGCAGAGGGGGATAACGGAGAGATTGGGGCCGCGACAAAGCAAACGTCAGAAACGTTGAACCACGGCGAACGAATCGTGGAGGCATTAGAGCTCGGCATGGCTGATTTGCACGTCATGCGGGAATGGGAAGAGACCAAAGGGTCAAACCCGAATATTGCGCCGCCGCAGCGCGACCCGATGTTTATGGCCCATGGCGGAATTAGTGCTGAAGAATACGTTATGAAGGTCCTCCAGAGACCGGCAGCATCCGCGCTGAACGATGCGCTCCTCGTTCTTCCGTTCGCCTCAGTCCCTATACTTTTCACTTTCCTTAACCTCTTCGCTATGAGGTCTATGAATATTCCCCTGACGTGTAGGATCTTGTTCTTCATGCTAAAGACACATCACCGTCAAATAGTAGCCAGCAGGACCATGCGAGTGATGCTAGACGGGATAAGATCAAACCTGCGGAAGGCCCTCCAGAGACAAAAGGACGAGATGGGCTACAACATAGCAGCGCTCAAAATTGCGGGGATGCAGATTCAGGATAAGGGAATTAAAGACTACGTGGACGAGAACTGGGACGACGGCACCGGAGCTCAGAACGTTAAGAAACGGGCTTTCGTACATGTATCGTGATAGAGTTGGACGATGCATTAGGTATAGCATTAGGTATAGCATTAGGTATATCTACCTATATATAGGTAGTGTCTAGTTACATGTAGTATACATAACTACTTATTTTATAAAAATAGAAAGCACCAAACTTTGTTATCTGGTTTCTGGTTTAAGCAGGCTTGAGCATGTTAGGTACTTTGTAGACGTTGGATGTACCTAGGTCATGTATGTCCTATGTATGTATGTATGTACAAACTACAACTTTCAATTTATACCGCGTGCAAACACTTAAGAGTCCGAACCAATGATATCATCCCTTTCGAACCCTCCCGCATACGCTAGCCTGGCCGAGGGTATCTTGGCAGGAGACTAGAGCTCCTTGTGCTACTAAGCTACCCCTCCCCCGCAAGAACTCAGCAATAGGATGGGAGGGTTAAGTGGGGTCCACCCGTTACCGCCTGCCGGGTTCGTAGCTTACCTCGGTATCCTGCGACGTCAATTCCTCGTTTTGGTTTGGCGGGTTGGAGCTTGGGTAATTTACCGATTATCTTATTTACTTTTCATTACCGATAAGATGTGATGTGATGGGTTTTGTTTCTTGTAACCTAGTTAATTATTCTTGATTTGCTGCTCTTACTATATACTATTATTACACCACTACACTACGATGTGGTAAATTGTAATTGAGTAGATAGACAGACAGCACAGACCCAGCATCTCCCTTTCCCTTTCCCTTTCGTCTACTTCCCGTTCAGCTAGGAGGAGCACGAGGAAAATCGACCATGGCAGGCCAAGTACGGCATCCGATCGACACGGCGGCGTTGGAACGCTACATCGCTCAGAATGTACCCGAGATCAAGCTGCCGCTGGACGTGAAGCAGGTTCGTTAACCTAGACAATCCTATACAATCCTATATACAATACTATATACATAAATGATAATAGATCCTCCAGCTAAACACCATCCCAGTTCGGCTTCGGCCAATCCAACCCAACCTACCAACTCACCTCCCCCGACAAAACCCGCTACGTCCTGCGCAAAAAACCCGCCGGCAAGCTCCTCTCGCAAGCCGCCCACAAAGTCGAGCGCGAGCACCGCGTCATCGCCGCCCTCCAGCACACCCCCGTCCCCGTCCCCCGCGCCTACGCCCTCTGCGAGGACCCCAAAGTCCTCGGCACCCCCTTCTACATCATGTCCTTCGTCGACGGCCGCATCGTCCACGACCCGTCCATCCCGCCGCCCCACGCCCAGACCCCCGCCGAGCGCGAGGCCCTCTGGCGCGCCGCCGTCGAAAGCCTAGCCGCCCTGCACAGCGTCGACCCCGACGCCGTCGGCCTGGGCGCCTTCGGCCCGAAAGCCGGCTTCTACGCGCGCCAGCTGGCCACCTGGAAGCACATCTGCGACGTCCAGGCCCGCACCCGCGACGTCGACACCGCAGAGCCCGTCGGCCCGATCCCCCACATGGACGCGCTGGTCGCCTTTTTCGGCGACGAGGCGCTGCGCCCGCGCGACAGGGCTACGCTTGTGCACGGCGACTACAAGATCGACAACCTGGTGTTTGCGCCCGCGGAGCCGCGCGTCGCGGGCATTCTGGACTGGGAGATGAGCACCATTGGCCACCCGCTGTCGGACCTGGCGAACTTGCTCAATCCGTTCTACCTAGTTTCGCTATCGCAGTTGCCGTCTTTCGCCCCGTCGTCGCCTTCGAAAGACGGGGTTCCGAGCCAGACCGAGGCTATAGCGGCTATAACCAACGCAGGCTTCCTCCCCGGCGCCACGCCCGGCCTTCCCACGCCCGCTACGGTGCTGTCCTGGTATGCGGCAGCCGCGGGCTGGGATCCGCGGCCCGACGAAGTAGCTTGGGCTTGCGCGTTCAGCGTATTCCGGCTCGCGGCCATCTGCCAGGGCATCGCGGCGCGTGTCGCTACGCGTCAGGCCAGCAGTGCCGATGCTCGTCGACATGCCGCTGCTCTACGACCGCTCGGCGAGTTTGCGTGGGAGCTAGTGAGGAAAGAGAAGGAGAGGCGGAAGGCTGCGTCTAGTAGTAGCGCGAAGCTATGATGGCGGATCTCTACTACCATCGTCATATTTTTGCCACTTTCGTTGTTTTACTCGGCCTTTGAATCTAAAGTAAAGGATTTGGCTAGTTAGTTAACTAGACGGAAGTGGGAAGTTTTGCGTTTTGCTGGAAGCTTCTAAACAACGGTAGGATTACTTGGGCTGGGATATGAGCTACGATCACAAAATCAGCATTCATCCCGTGTATCATCTACTTAGGTTAAGCCAACATATTTGGATTCATTTTCAATGAGTTATTAGTTATACAAAGCGATAGTTTTGGACAGCTGCCTAGGTTAGATAGTGTACAATGATAAGTAGCAGTTTGAAGAATATAATCAAACTCTCGTAAGCTCATGAGCTTTTATATCCCTTTAAGGGTTTACTTTTGAATACAGCAACAAGTCATTACATTACATAAACGCATCAAGACATCGCAAGTTATCAAAGCACGTCGCTCAATTAGAGCCTATTTGGCTATCTGAATTAATGAGTATGGTTAACCCTTCACCGCAAATCTGGTTCGGGACGGGGAGTCAAATATATGCATTCATGAAGAAGCCATATCGCCTTGAGGCCGAATAGAAATCCCTATCAAGTTTTTGTTTCGGGGGAGGAGACTTCCCAGTCTAATAACCGTCTCCTAGAAGTGAATTTCATGCCTGTCGTCAAATCCGGCGGCCCACTGAAATCGAAGCCGTCCGTGCTGAATGGGAAGAAAATATCATGGTGAACCTGATCTGCGTATCGTGCGTAAAACTTATAGCCGCCCTATCCGGCCCCTAAAACCTCGCCTCCCCTAACGCCTAGCAAAATATGTCTCCGGAGTTGAGTAGAAGAAGTGTCGGTGAAATAACTGCCCCCGCGAAATCCTCAAATCAACCTACGAATCGTGCCAAACCATCGAGATGCCGTGTGCGGAAAATAAAGAAAATCGATGCAGATCTCTATGTGGATTACCTGCTCCATAAGACGTCGCATGCACGAATGAAAAAAAGAAATAACAACTTAGAAGCGCCAGATTATTGCTCCCCCTATCGCCTGTTATCGGAACGCACAATTCGTCCCAGTCTATTACTTTGCGGTAGATACCGAGAACCCCGTGTTGCTCGCGTCATATGTAGAGGCATTGACATCGGGTTTCTGTGATAGTGAAAGGTAGGCTGTAATCCAGGAGGAGGATTTAGGCCCGGGTTTTCCATCGCGTGTCCCTATGACTGCTGGTGGGAAATACCCCCTCCGTAGATAGCCTCGTCAGCATTAGACATATAGACCTCTGGGCCTGCATATGTCGGGGACATGGGCGAGGCATGCTGTGAGCGCATATGGGGTAGTGTAGGATACTCTTCCCCGTTGCTACCAGATCCTGCGATAATTAATGGATTCAGGTACGGCTCAGACGGTGCTCCTCCCATCTGCGGCGGGAACTGGAAAGAAGGAACACTAGCATCAAATGTCGGCCGGGTAGTCGTGTTCGACGAGGATGCAGAATGCTGGCGATTGTGTGAATGGTTCGCATTCGGTCTGCTAAGCCAGGTGTACTGCTGCAGCGAATTGTTAGTAAACTTTTACTTCCTCCCACAAGGCTTCGAGGAATGTAAGCTAAGAATTACGAACCTGAGCTGGGGCGGCACCGTTTGATGCGAAATGCGGCCGTCCGGAAGGAAATCCTCTCAAGCTCCCGTGGCGAGGACGCACTCTACGTCTGCCGTCGCTAGCCTCGCTAAACGGAAGCGGAGAGTGACGATCCCCGAAATCGACATGCCAAGCTGGTGTTCGAGAATTATACATCGACGGATTATCTTGTCTTCTAGCCGAAGCACCACTTAATGCAGAATACTCGAGGTCTGGGAACGGGCTATATCACGTGTTAGTATAGGGGCATAATATCATAGTAAAGTACAAATACCTCGAAGCTAAAGCTGCTAAACCACCCAGCGTAGTTTCGGCAGGTCGCCCGAGCGAATCTGACTCGCTACGTTCGTGCTCTCGGGCGTTCCGGTTCTGCATCTGCATCTGCATCGCCACCTGGTGGTGCTGGCGTAGGAATCGATAGACGTTATGAGCATTCATCGCGTTTCGATATTGAGGTTCCGATGGGACTTTATCCCTACAGTAGGGGCAGCTGTCTGATTCTTCAAACCACTTCTTGATGCAATGGTCTCCAAAGACGTGTTTGCACTTTGGCAGCCGCAGCGGGTTTTCACTGATGCCTTCGGGAGTCTCGGCTCCATAGTCGTTATAGCAGATCACGCAGGCTAAGTACCATTAGCTAGAATTACTCGACGATAGGCTCGGCATTAAAACTCACTCCTCTCATTTTCCGGTAAATTCGAAATTGCCACACTCTCAAGTGAAGTGATTGCCTTCTTAGAGGCGACTCTCTTATTTGACATTGCCCCCCTAATAAGTTGGTGCGCTCTCAAACGATCATCGGATGCGTTGTCTAAACCGGGTGAATTGTTGACGGCAGCCTCCAAAAAGGAAAACGTAGCCGCATCGGGTTCCGAGTCGTCATCGCTAGACCAGCCCGACTCAGATGGCAATCGCGGGACAGCCCGTCTGTTTCGGGTCGCACTAGCCCGACGCGGCTCGGAGCTTGCTGTCTCGTTTGACATATCGCTGGTTCGAGGACCACCAGGTGCTTGGCGGTGAGGCGAAGATGAGGCTAACGGCAGAATCATGGTTAGAATAACTTTAATATAGGAGCAAACGTTATCAAGAAATATTAGTAGCGTACCTGAGTTGGAGGATCCGTAGTCAGTCTGCCCACCCGAAGGAGTAGTTACGTCGGAAGTCGTAAAAGGCGATGGCATACTATGACGAGTAAAATGAAGATTGTGCTGACTCGACTGCTGAGCGGGGTGTGAAGTTTGGGGAAATGTTGTTTGCAAGTTTTGGCTTGCAGTTGTAGGAGGCATAGAGGTGAGGGATGGCAAGGTTGTCCTTGAACCATGCACTGAGGCGTTGTGTCCTGTTTCGCCCGCAATTCCACCCTGAGGTTGTTGACCTTGATTAGAACCTGAGAAACCTCCCTGACTATGTTGAATAGGAGCCGTGCCTCCAATCCGCTGCAAACTGAGCAACGGCGCCCGGTAACGGAATTGATGTGGGTTACTATGTGGGTTGTATAAGTTGGGCCCGTTTGATTGATATGGCGGCTGGTTCATTTGGCCAGTAGTCAGCGGTAAAATAGGCGGAGAAGGTTGGTAGAGAGGATCAGTGTTCCATCGGGCATGGGGTGGGGGCAGAGTTTGCCAAAAGTGAGGGTTGTTGTGCACCGGGTCGAAGTAGTAATTAGGTCGAGACGGAAACATCGGTGGTGGATGTTGGTTGTGCTCAGCAGCAGCAGCCCGTAAGGCCGGACATGCAGAGCGAGCTGCGTGGTCCACGTTCGCCGACGATGAGGACGGATTAGAATGCTCCGGGGGGTGCATCATGAAATCCATTGTTGAAGGGTCCATGCTATTATTATTTTTTTTTCTTCTTTAGGAGAGTGGCGGCCTTAGTTTTAAAGAGACCGTCACTCCCGTTCCTATATCCTTACGATTACAGACGTGTGGTTGCCTTGATGTCTTTGGTGGAGAGAGTGGGACGGATGGGAACCGGACGATAGACGGAGGGGTCGGTGGAATAGATAACCAGGGCTGATGGCCTCGGGATGCGGATATAAGTAAGATCACCAGGGGTTAAAGTCGGCACAGTTGGAACAGCCGACGATATTGAAGTGTTTTCTTTTCCTTTCCACACGGTCCCAAAAGGACTAATACTGTGCCAACCAGAAGATCCTGCCTACTTGACACTTTTCGCAAGGTACGTGGGGAGACGGCGATGACGGCATAGACAAGGACTGATGGTTTATGTGAAAGTAGAAAATATGGTGCGGGATATCGTGCCTGTGACGAGTTTGTTTTCTCGGACCGTTCGATTATCTACCTGAGTCGTTGTCGGTAAAAAATAACACTGTTGCCAAGTGACAGAGAAGTCGAACTTGCGTCAGGTCTTTAGGTCTTCAGGTCCTTGTGATCTGCTACCTATGAAGACTTACGTCTTCCTCCCCCAAACGCTAACTAACCGGGCAAAGAGCTGTGTAAATAAGTACTGGACTTGCAAACGCTTGCCTTTGACAATGCTTAAATATCAAAATACTTAGGGGCGGAAATGGAGAATATTCGATCCTAGGTATTGACGGCAAATTGATAATAGGATATAGTTAGGCAGGAAGATGGTGAGAAGATAGGTCGCCGACACGGCAAGAGGTGGTTTAAAGATGGAGATTGAGATATGGAGGGGTTTTATTTAGATGCTAAGAGCTAAGAACCAACATCCGATCCGATGCGTTCACGGGCCTACCTGGATGTACTTTGGGTCTATCTCCAGGGGAAGGTAGGTCGGGAGAAACAACGAAGGAAGGGGGAAGGATGGATAAGTAGGAAGGTAGGAGGGAGACAAAAAAGGACAAAAAGAAGGCTGGCAGAAGACTGACTGTGTTCAAATTAAGAAATGGTAGTAAGTGCGATGCAGCAAATACGCATGCTCTTACCATACAGACACAGATACAGATACAGATACAGCGCTACAGCAATACAGCAATACTTTACAACGATACAGCCATAGTGCACTGTGTGTATTCCGTAATATGTAATATGTAAGGTAGGAAGTTAGGTTAGGTGGGTATGTATGTAGGTATTGTATGTACGATATGTACATATGTACGATACGACAAAGTCTAATTTGACCAATAGACGACAAAGGTACAATACATAAGGTACTTACAGGCGTACTACCTAGGTCGTACATACCTATGCTAGGTACATAAATCCACCTTACATCCATGACCTACCTACCTTCAAGGTTACTACCTAGGTAGACTGCTAAGTAGCCAGGGCTGTCAGGTAGGCCTACCTTGCCTACTTAGCCTACCTACATCCTACATAAGCTAACGTGCGTGAGTTGCAAGTTTTAGGTAGTTTGCCTTATCCAAGGGATTTCCATTGTCCACACAGGTTTTTTTTTTTTCTTTCTCTGGAGAGCCGTGCCGTGGACAAAAAAAAACCCCCCCCATTCATACGTACCCATGTACCTACCCTTGGACCAGCCCAGTTAGGTACTTAGTTGGCATAATATTATTGGTACTATGAACCGAAGAAGTCATTATCGCAAATGGCAAATGGCAAAATCAGCAGCAAAGAAATATAAAGGATAGAAATGCCGCCGGACTTTGATACGTTATTAGCGGAGAGGCGGCTTAGGAGGCAACTACCACGCCCAAAGTCCCAAGGTCCAAGCTCGGAGGAAAAACGATGCAACGCAGACTCCGAGCCAGTCTGGACTGGCTTGGCTTGGCTTGCTCTAGGCAGACTCAGATGCTTGCAGGCGTCTTCATCCGCTAGAAAAATAATTGCTCTATGTATGTAGAGCAGAGTAGGTTAGAGCCTAGGTGTTTGGCATCAAATGCTATGTAGAAACCGTCGACGTGTTGCCGTACCCATATATGTACCTAGGGATTGTGTAATTG